CATACTTCAATGAATTCGTGCTGAACATTCGTAAAATGATTTGCTAATTATCTCCAGGAGAGACATTCGTTGAATAATCTGCATAAAATTTAACGAATTCTCGACTTTGACCATTCCTCAACGTTTAGTCTTTGCATCATTGCTCTGAAGATTTTTCATATTTTGTTAAGTGCATTTTCACTTCAGTTTCAGCTACTTAAAAAATTTTACAAAATATATCTTGCCTGGAGAGACTATTTCAGCGATGAAACGAGTCGAGTGGAATAAAAAAGGTCGGGTAATTACTTCGTTATCGTGAAAATTATCGATTTTACGTAAAAATGTGAAAAAGCATTTTTTGTGGGAAATTTTATCCTCTAGAAAAAAGGTCTCTTGATATTGCATCATGAAGTCACTCAATACCGAGATAATTCCACCATCAACAATTAGAGACACATGATAACGACTCGACTCGTTTTACCCCATCACGGCATATCTCCTCGTGTTTCTTCTTGCATTCCTATATAAATCGGGAATAATTCAGAGTCCATGAAGCTACATTTGATCATTAATTATTTGCTTAATGCCTGTCGTACGAAAAATAGCCACTAGAAATTGTTAAACGAATTTGTCAAGAAATCAAGACCTTCTCTCTCTGTCTCTAACGAATTAAAATTGACTGACTTATTGTAAATGTTTTCATAAAACGAAAAATTGAAAATCTGAGGAACTCATACTTCAATGAATTCAGGCTGAATTGTGGTAGAGTGGATGCCCTCGTTATGGAAGAACTCTTTCACTTGTTCGGCAATTTTCATGTATTCAGAGAGATTACGACAGCGGATGTGCGCTGAAGCGATTATCCGATCCCCAGCGAGTTGCCACACGTGGAATTCATGAACTGCCAGAACTCCATCGATACTTTCCAGCAGACGTTGCTGAATTGCATCTACCTTGAATATAAAAACAAAATAAATATAAATAAATATAAATACATTTAAAAAGTCGCCCTGACAATTAACTCAAAGATCTTTGAATTCCAGGATTTCTATTCGTAATCTAAAATTCAAAATCTTTCAATGCCAATCCACTACTGAGAAAAAAAATTATCGAATTGAAAAATAAATCAGCAATTACCAAATGAAATTAATGAATAGTCGCGAACACATAGGTGATTGCGAGTGCTAAATATTGAATTGAATAAATGTGTTTAAAACAATTAATTGAAACTTTACTTGTTTGCAAGAATTCAAATTTGTAATTAGTATTCGTTAAAATATGCCTGAGGATGCATTCAATTTAGAGACATTTAATGATCTCAACTAATTATTGTTATTAGTATATTAAGATTAGAAAAATATTTTTCAACTTCTCAATAGTCATCAATAATAAAATAATTAATTTATCTGCTTCGATTTAATATAACTGTAATTAATATATTTATTTGTTTTCACTACATACTTGTTAAGAAACAGTTAATTAACGTGAATCCATCAAAAGATTGAATTAACCAAATAGTTACTAGCTCTAATAATATTTCTCATTGTCGTCAATCTAATTTGATAAAAACAACCATTTTTCCTCGCAATCAAATCGATTTGCTACATTCTCCTAAATTTTTCTCTCCATGTAGAAACAAAGAGGAATATATAAAGAATCAAATGGCAATTCGTCGAATAGACAGTGACACGTCTTATCTTTCCAAGATAAGAATGTAACGAGATCTTTCATATTTTTCAGTAATAAAGGAGAAGATTTTGATAAATAGATTCCTGGAAGAACGACATTGACATATAGTAGAAGAAAAATTACCTGGATGTGAGTTGGCACTGTCTGGAGTAAGATCAAAGCCGATTCCTGCAGCAGTGGCCAGACAGAGCGGAGAATAAGAAGTACGAGAATCAGAGACAATGCTGGATCGATATGACGGCTGGAATAAAACAAAAATTTTCATAACAATTTGTCCTCCGAACAAAACCCAGACTAAAAACTAAATAAGCCTCAAACAAATGGTCTTTATTCCTTTTAAAGTTATTGTTTCTTTTCGGGATTGTTTCTTTTAATTGTTTTCCAATTGTTTTTCTTTTAATTGTTTTCTAATTGTTTTTCTTTTAATTGTTTCTTTTCTACGCTAGCTACTCTCCATGTAATCCATTCTAATTAGTTTAAAATTAGATAATGTTAGGATATCAAATTAAAATTCAGAGAAATATATTGAACTGATTTATGATGATTAGAAAAATGAATCAATATGGAGGAAGGGCTCCATAAACAATCGGTTCACAAGAAATCATTGTAGGATTCTTTCTTTGGTGACGAATGTTCTTATGGTCTTTGCAGCTAGTCTTTAGTCTCTTGGAGATATTGATAGAGTTCAGACGGTATTCTTCCTCGTGCGATTTTAATGAAGAAATAGTGATTAGAATTTATTAACTGTGTTTTAATTAATTTAACTATTCCATTTCAAATAAAAAATATTCAGTTTTAGACATTTTTTTAATAATTCCTATTTCCTCTTCACTATTTTCGACCAGATGTACGGCGAGGTTATATATATAAATTAAATGGTAATGGATATTGTTTAAACGGAATTGGAATTTTGGAGAATGTGGCACGTGAAATTTGACGAATTGTTATTGATAACTCTTGATT